AATTTAAACCAGCGATGCGGAAAAAAAGGATAATATATCATGAACGAAGTGATGTATATCTCAGCAACTTGACTGGCTTGAAATTTACCACATTTACAGAATAAAGGAGCAAGACCATATGACTATGTCAGTACATGCAGGGAAAACACCAGACAAAATTCAGCACCCATTCAGGATACAAACTCTCGGCAAACTAGGAATAGAAGAAAAAGTTCTCCATCTGACAAAGGACATTCGTAACACCTGATAATGGCAACACCACCCTCAACAGTGAGGGCTTTCACCCTATGACTGAGAGCGAAAGGAGGATTTCCGCTGCCACAGTTTTTATTCACCATCGTACCAGAGGTTCTAGCCAGTGCAGTAATGGAAGCAAAGAAATAAAGGCACAGAAATCGGAGCGCAAGAAGCAAACTGTCTTGATTCACAGACATCATGATTTTCAACTCAGAAAATCCTAATAAATCTGCATACCATCCCCTAGAACTAATAAGTAAATTCAGCAAGATTGCAGAATATAAGATCAACATATAAAAATCAACTGTAAATACAAGAATTTTAAAAAAATGTAAACACTGATTTAGAATACCATCAAAAACATGAAAGTATTCAGAAACGTATTTGATAAAATGCATGCAAGACCTCTAAGCTGGAAACCAGAGAACACTGCTGAGAAAAATTAACGAGGACCTCAACAAATACAGAGATGACCACTGCCATGAATTGGAAGACTCGATATTAAAAAGATGTCAACCCTCCCCAAAATGATACATAGGTTCAACGAACTCCCAACCAAATTCCCAACAAGTTTATTTTTTTGCATCTATTGACACCTTGATTCCAAAAGCAATATAGAAAATCCAAAGACCGAGATGCTAAAGCAATCTCAACACCAAACAAAACAAAGACGGAGGACTCACTGCCTAATTTCAAAACTAATCACAAAGCTACATAATCAAGTCTGCGTGGGACTCGCATAGAACAGACAACAAGATCAGCTGAACAAAACAAGGAGTCCAGAAATGGAACCACACATATATGGTCAACTTCTTTTGACAAAGCCACAAAGGTGATTCAATGGAGAAAGGCAAGCTTTTCCAACAAATGATGCTGAGCCAACTAAATACCTGTACAGAAAAAATAAATTGTATATATCACAAACGAGCAATGCAATATGGATCACAAGTCTAAACACAGAAGCTAAAACGATAAGGCCTTTGAAAGAAATTATGGGAGATTCTCTTTGCAAAATTAGGGTAAGCAAATATTCTTAGAGAAGAAACAAACATAAAAAATTAGGGACTGTACTTCTTGTAAAATTAAAAACTTCTACTCATCAAAACAAAACATTAGAAAAATAAAAATACAAGACCAACTATGAGAAAATAATCACAATATACACAGGATTTGTACAAAATATACAAGAATTTGTATCCAGACTGTATAAAGAAATGTTATAAATCAGTAACAAAAAGAAGAAAACCCTGATTAAAAATAGGCAAAAGACATGAGTAAGACGTGCAAAGTCACCTCACAAAGGAAGATGCAGGAATCTATATGTGATCAAATTGACAAGAACAACTCAAAACGTTAGATGAGAAGCTTAAGGGCAGTGAGTTTATGTTAATGGTGGGAGAATAATTTGGAAAAGGTTAGTGAGAACAGTGGCACAACTTGAAGAATGTAATCGATGTCAGTGAACTGGACATGTAGAAATTGTTGAATTCGTGTATGTTTTGCCATGTATATTTTCACCCCCAAAATTTTTGTTCTCAATTCTTTTATGTATAACTGTAGATTAATCCTAACTCACTGCTTGTGCAAAAGTCTAACTTACCATTAGAATTGACCAAAAAGTTCCTAAATAGAGATAAAAGTCACCAAAAAAAAAAAGATACAGGAATGGGCAGTAAGATGTTTAACATCATTAGTCATCAGAAAAGTGCAAATTAAAACCACAATGATGCAACACTTCATCCCCAGCAGAAGAGTTAAAATTTAAAAACTGACAGCATCAGGTGTTGGCAAGAGGGTGAACACACTGGAACTCTCGTACATCGATGGTGAGAATGAGAAAGGGTACAATGTGGGGAAAAGTTTCACAATTTCTTACAAAGTTAAACATAACATTTGTCATGTAATCCAGCAATTCCACACTTACGAATTTACTCAAGAGAAATGAAAACCTATGTTCACAAAGAGACTTGAACAAGAATATTCATAGCAGCTTTATTCACAGCACCCAAAAAATGGACAACTCAAATGCTCATCAACAGGAGAATGGGTAAACAAACTGTGACATATTCACACAATAAAATACTTCTCAGCAATAGCAAAGAATGAGCCACTGACTGACATGCACACACCCACAACCATATGGATCAACCTCAAAAACATTCTTGCTGGGCAAAAGAATCCAGATACAAAAACAATACACCTAACTCGTCACTTATCAACTATCTCGTTATCCAACATTTCATATTGACAATAGTAAAAAGTTGACTATTTGACTCTTTTGAGCATTAACGATATATGTCTGGCAGTAACAAATGCCAAGGTGTGAGGCGACAGTAACACTGGCTGTGACAGTTAAGGTTATGTGTCAAGTTGGCTGGGCCACGATTCTCAGTTGTGTGGCACTTAAGTAATGATATAATTTGGCAGTTATGGAATGATGTAATTTGGCAGTTATGGAATGATGTACTCACCCTCCATTTTGTGATGTGATGTGGTCATCCTCCATTTTCGCATAACAACCTGGTCTTTGGAACCTAACCATGTATATAAGTGAGAGTGGGTGTACTGTGTGATTGCATACACATAATGTTCAAAAGCAAACAAAATTAATCAATGATGATACAAATCAGGACAGCGGATGCCTATGGGGCTGAGGACTGACTGGAAGGGGGCAGGAGGGACTTTCTGGGGTGCTCTGTATCTTGGTTTAGGCGGTAGTTATATGTTGTAAACATTTGTCAAAACTCACTGAATTGTATACTTAAAATCTGTGAATTTCACCGTGTAATTTTCACTTCATTTTTGTAAAATGATGTAATGTTAAAAATCGTTAATTCTGGGTATTCACATAGGTAGCTTTCATACTCTTAACTCTTAAACGTCCCACCCAAATTAACTATATATACTAGAGACTACTGAGTGACCCCCAAAATCCATTTACCATTTCTTCCTTACTACCAAACCCAAAAAAATCCATTGCCTTCCATTCTGACTTATAGCAAATAGGGTTTCCAAAGATCAGCTGGTAGATTTGAACTGCTGACCTTTTGGTTAACAGCCGTAGCTCTTAACCACTACACCACCAGGGTTTCCTCCTTAATTTTAACCAATACATGACAACCTACCAGCCCTCCTAGCTAGGAGTGTCCATGGGACAGATAGAGTCCCAGTCAACGAGATAGAAGAGGAAAATGGACGTGTTACATCTGGAAAACAGGTGGCATTCCTTTCCTCCTTCTCCTCTCCCTGCTGCTTGGCATGTGGGCACGGTGGCCTGGGCTGGCCTGGAGCACCAGGACAAGAGGAAAGCTCTGGACGACCATCAGAACCAGCCTCCAATGCTGGTCCCTGACTTTTTCATGAGCCCAGTCAACTGCACCTTGTGTAAGTCGGCTGTTTTTCACAGCCAAACCTACTCTGAACTTCATTCAGAAAGTACATAAAGTAGAAACTCAACACTAAGTCTCTTCAGCTTCATTCCATTCTCAATATCTCACGGGAATTTAACTAAACATACCTTAGAATGTTTGCTTTTTACCGTTTCTTCCCCCAAATTCACTTCACAGAGTGCCTTCACTTTTCTTACCGGGAAAAAAAAAAATCAACACATAATTTCTGTGATTTACTGTGCAATCAAACATGCTAACAGACAAAATGACATTTTCCCCGACAAATTATTTGGTGCCTGTGATTTTCGGAGTACAGCAGCCAGATGGTTCTCATAGAAATCGAGAAGAGTGTATTCATGTAGTTCAAAGGTTTCCTTATTTTTTGGTCTTGAAAAAGGACTCTATGGACTGTAACGTGCGGCTCTACAGGGCAAATCTCGACAGGAGGAGGGAGGATGCTGTATTCACGAGCACGCTCATGCTCATTACGGTCGTCTCCGACAGGGGTCCATTAAAATCCATGTTTATGTTCCTTATGTATTTTCTTTATCTAATGTTCTTGGCATTGTGTTTATTAGCCAGTTACAGCAAACGTGGAGCACAGGAGTGGTTGCTTTCCTTCTTCTTCTGTCAGAAATAATGGGAACTGCAATTTTAATACATCCACTCACGATCAATGAATGAAGGAAATTAAATGTTACGTTTCAGAACAAAACGTTAAGGACGGGTTTAAATTTTCCTATGTTTTTACAATTAGAAAGATATAGTGGGGATCGGTCCAAAAAAAGAGAGAGAAGCATGTGTCCCCTTAGAAATGGGAATATCCTAAAGTCACGCTAAAAAGGAGATTCTATCTTCTTCCTGCTGGCAGGGCTACACTGGAGTGCAGACACACACCCAGGCAGGCATGCACACGCGTGCACACACACACACGCGCACACACACACATGCGCACACGAACATTCTCCAAGAGGGCGAGGGGGGTTCCTGGTGAAACAATTCCAGGACATTTCTATAAAACTCACCCTGCCGACCCTGATGAACACTGAAGACTGGCCTGGCTTTAAAAATCAAGACTAGTTACGCACATCCCTGCCCCCGAATTCCAGAGAAACACCCACGTCCAAGTTGTGGAAGAATCAAAACGTGCAATGCTCACAATCAATGACAAGTTAGAGGGCTCTTTGGGAACAAAGGCTGAGAACAAAAGAGTAATGAAGTCCAGGGTGGGGTCTTTTCAGAGAGATGCCAGGTTTTGTCATCAGTAGCTTACGGTTGAACGTTACTATGTGGTCATCGTAAAACAAGCAACACTCACGCTGACTCCCCTGCGGGTTTTTACGGACACCGTGCACTGGCGAGTTAGTTACTCACTGGGCTCCTGGACTCTTCTGGCCAAGCAGCTTTATCCCGTGCAGCCCGCTCTCACAACCAGACATCTCTACCTTCCCCAAAGGGCTGTCCATGATTTTGTATTTCATTTCACAGGTCTTCTCCATTCTCCTGAGTACCTAAAGAGAAAAAAATACATAAATTAAATGAAAAAATGTATGTGCAAGAGTTTGAAGCATATACCTTTAAAGCGCAACAGAAACACCAGTCACTTAAAATGTAAAATATCTTCTAAAGCTTTTTTCTCATTTTTGGAATCTAATCATATGATGTATCATTTTTACATTAGTCACCCCGAATCCAGACCCTACGGGCTGGTCATTGCTCACAGGAAGTGAGAGGAAGTAAGTGACTTAGACTCAGGGCTTCCAATGGGTTCATTCCAGTTTGAACCCTGCTGAGAATCTGCATTTCTAACAAGTTCCCAGGCGATGCTAATGCTGCTGGTTTGGGTCCAATTCTGAGAAGCACTAGTAGAGCAGTGGTTCTCAAAATGTATTACACATAACACATCACCTGGGGATCTTGTTAAACTGTAGATTCAGATTCAGTATATATGGTATGGAAATACAAATTCTCAGCAGGGGTTTGAACTGGAATGAACCAGTTTGAAGCCCTGCTTAGCCTTCCTCATGGTTTAAAGAGAAACTGACATAAACCGCACCTCATTTGGCCCCAACATGAGGACTATCTGGAAACACTCTCCTCTGAGGCCAAGACCCCGTGAGGATGGACCCAAACATACACCCAGTACTGAGCGGGCCTGGCTGGGTGAATTTCCACCGGAGCCTTTGGGTTTTTAAACCCATTAGCAGTAGTCAAAGAGAATCACCATAACCCACTGACCACCACTTTGCCAAAGAAGAAGCGTGGCAATGTTAACGTGGTTTCCGGTCAACCCAGCCAGGAATGGGGTGTGAGAGTCCACAGAAGCCTGAATGCTGCCTTCTTCTTTCTAGACTTACCAGAACATTCCGCATGGAGCCTTCCCGTGGGCACAAGTAAAAACAGGTTTAGTATCTCAGCCCTGATGGCGCAGCGATTAAGCACCCGGCTACTAACCAAAAGGCAGGCAGTTTAAACCCACCAGCTGCTCGGAGGGAGAAAAACCTGGCCATCTGCTCCTGTAAACATCATGGCCCAGGAAACCCTGTGGGGCAGTTGTACTGTTCTGCTCTGTCACATGGGGCTGCTACGAGTTGGAATCAACTCGAAGGCACACAGCAGCAACAACAACGGGTAACCTGTCCCCAGAGGCAGCTCTGGGCTATCCGGCCGGGCCACTGGTGTCTGCTGACAAGGGGTTTGGGCCAAGCTGGCCAAGGTGGCTAAGAGGCGGAAGGGTGCCTGCAGCCTGCACAGGGGTGGGGGTGTCAGACACCAGGAGGCGGAGCAGGGACGCAAGGGGGCTGAGGGGGTGGGCAGCAAGCAGCAGGTGGCGTGGCCTCAAGGGTATGTGGGGCGCTGGGGAGCCAGAGGGGAGACGGCGGGAAGCGACAGTGCCAGGTGCGCATGAGGCAGGGGGCAGCACCCAGGTACAGCTCGCTGTGAATGACACAGCCACAAAGCAGCCACGGGTTCTGAGCTGCGTGCACGGGACAGACCTGCTCCCGATGTCCCTGCAGGGAAACCACAGGAAAGGGGTCCTGATCAACCCACGAGCAGTGCCAAGAAGGGGTCCCGCTGGATCCTGACCGATTAACAGCCACCACCAAAGAAGGTAATTAACCGCTGACGGGCAGACGAGCTGACCTGAAGGAGTAAGTGAGGGGCAGAGCGCACGCGGGGCGGCCGGAGCAAGGGGGCCAGGCCACCCCCACCGGGGCCCCGTGGGTTGGGGGAGCGGCTCAGGGAACCCACAGGAGGGGTACCGTGAGCGCACACAGGGGCAAGTGTGGACAGCGAGGACTTCTGGAGAAATGATAGGCAAACAGCGATGGAATCCTAACAGGGAGCTGCCAGGTGAGAAGACCAGGGTGCAACAGCAGGTGGAAAGATCTTCGCTGAGGAGAGACGTGCCACGAAGCAGAGTTGGCAGGCAGGCTGGGTGCTCACACCCTCCTCTGGTGGGCCACTTCTTGAGCCTGGCCTTTTCCCCGAAAAGGCAGGAAGAGTTTTAAAGGTGGGAGGCGCGCAGCAGGCTTGCGTTGCGGAAGGCGCCTTCTTCCGGCTGCTGTGCACGGGTGAACCGAGGCTGGGACTCCTGGAGGAGACCCTGGGAGCGACCCACAGGAGGATGAAGAGGAGCTGAACAGCGAGAGAAGCAGAAGGGACGGAGATGAAATAACGGGCAGTCAGGGCACAGTGATGAGCACACGCTGGCCAAGCACGTGACGTTTCTCCCGCATGAGCCACCTGGCGTGATGGTGTTAGCTGCTGTCAAGCACATTCCAACTCGTGGGGACCCACGTGCGCCCTGGCTGTAAGGAACACTCGGCACAGCAGCTGGGGGCCAGGGCGAAAGAGTGGGTCTCAGCAGCAAGAATGCGGGTCTTACCGAACGCTCTGCGTACGCCAGTCATCCAAATAACACACCACTGCCGTGCACTGTGAAAATACCTACACGTCCCCGCAAAGGGAGCCTCAGGAGACGCACTGGAAACCAAAACGCCAAACCCGTGGCGGTCGAGTCAGCTCTGAGGGATGGTGTGCTGTGTGTCGCAGAGAAGAATGTGCTCTAAAGGGTTTTCAATGGCCAATTTTTTGGAAGTAGAGTGCCAGGCCTTTCTTCCACGGCACCTCTGGGTGGACTGGAGCCTTCAGCCTTTTGACTGGCAGACAAATGTGTTAACCGTTTGCACCAGCCAGGGATTCCAAGCCCAAGACACCCCAAATCTCGCGACATTCTCATGTCATACTGTAACATACTGAACTTCAGTTTTGATCAAGAATGACCTGTTCATAATCTACTGAGAAGAAAATACGTCCTCTGTCACCATCAGTGATGGAAATAACCGTCTTGAGGAAAGCACGGAGCCCTGTCGCCCATGTGGTCTGAACGGGACGGTGATTTCCCTCGGGGTGCCGGTTGCCGGCCACCACACTGTGCTCCACAGGCCCTGCCTGGGTCGAGCGTCTCGGCCCCGCCAACAGCACGTCCCCATGAGCTGGAAGCGTTCTAGCAGGCGGGTGCCCGCTAACCACCATGCCACAGTGACAGTCTGTCATGAGTCACGAGGAGCACGCTGGCAGCCTGGTGTTCACAATGAAATGTCACTTCTTAAGCCTGTTATGTCTTGGGAAGCTTCAGCTTAAATATGTCATGGCAGAAAATAACCTCATTCTTCACAGCCTTTGAAAGTTGAGTGGAGTTTAACTGCCTTCTTAGAGAACAGGCAGCGTGTCAGCACACACAGGAAGACGTGAGGGAAACACACCAACTTTCTCAATTAGGCAAAGCAGCCGAAGTCACCAGACTCCTACTCCAGAAGAGAGAGGGATCAGCTTCTGGTCTTGGTCTCTGAGAAACTTCTGGAAAAGAACAACCCCTCCCTCTGACAAGCCAGATCCGGTGGTGAAGTAGAAACATCTCAAACTTCTCTTCCAAACAGCCAAGTGTGATTTGAAATCCTCTTCATCCAGGAAGCGATCTTGTAGTATCAAAGCATCGTGTATAGTTGTTTGCAATCAAGCCGTGAGAGCAAGTGGCACAAACAGGTAATAACACTGTCCACCTGTGCACGTAGAGACCTGCACATCAAAAGCACGTGCTTACTGTATCTGCGTCACATCAGTCAGTGGATGATACAATTAACCCCGGGCAGTCAGGACAATGCTGTTTCCAGGTGCAATGACCAAACCCTTGTTTGTGCTGATTCAGGCAGAACAGTGAGGACTTTTGGATGGAGATTCCAGAACTGGCACCCACCGACCTCCTCACAGAGACCTTCAGCAAACGTGCAGGAATGAGACCCCCCACCACAGGAACATGTAGGTGGGAAGCCCCCTGCAACAAGGAGGCCTCTAGTACCCCCATGCACACGGGGACACATGCCCAGACACAGCCTGCCCCTCCTTCTCGGGACCTCTGTGGGGTGCCCCCACTCCACAACACTCCCTGGGAGCATTCCACAAAACTGCACGGTGCTCGGTGCTAAGAAGATCTGCGTAAAATGTGGGACCCCCCGGACTCAGCAGGCTCCCTGGCATTTTGACAGCTCTTCTCCTACAGCCCCCCTCCCCTTTCCAGACTTCCAGACCCAGCAACTTCTGCAGCACACAGGCTGACCCTCTGAACTCGGTCCAAGGCCCCTCCTACCAATCTACGTTTGTTTGTTTTTTAATTTTTATTGCAGTGAGATATTTATAACAAAATATTTGCCACTTCAACGCTTTTTACGTGCACAATTCAGTGACGTCAATTACGTTCACTATGTTGAGGATTTTACATTTTTTAACGGCTAAAAAAATCAAAAGAAAACTATTTCTTGACGCCCAGAAATGATAGGAGATTCTGATTTCAGTGTGCATAAATAACGTTTTATTGGCACACTCACCTCCATACTGTCTACAGCTACTTTCACACTACAATGGCATGGCTGGGTGGTTTCCACAGAGACCATGTAGCCCCCAAAGGGAAAAATACTTACTGTCTGGGCCTTCACAGATGAAGCCCGTCAGCCCGTGGCCTAAAGAGCCGCGCAAACAATTAGAACATCTATATGTTCTCCCAGTTCGCTCTCTCCCACCCACCGAGGAACACATCATTAGACTACTTTGATTCAACAGATGCTCACTCTCCTTGTCCTTTTACATCGCAACCACAGCAAAGGTGTGGCTACAAAAGTTTCTGGAATTTTCTAAAGCACTGGCTTAGCAATGCCTACCGGCCTCCAATGCAAAGCGGCACAGACCTACCACCAAGCCCCAGGCAGGTGCCAAGCGCACGTCTGCGCCGCACGGACCAGCCCCGAAGTCCTCTCTACCCATAACGCACAGCTCATTTCAGATGTTTCTGCTGCCGAGATTCCCGGGCGAGGCAGCCAGATGATTCATGGCTTGGTGTCCCGAATGGAAGAGCCTTATGTTCCAGACACGCTCCAGTGGCTGTGAACAAGCCAGCCTTGACAGCACCCGCTCTTTAAAAAGCTCCTGCAGCTCTTCAAGGGACAGACGGGTC